CACAAGGGTGAGAGGCTCCGTAAGTACGTGTTGGATGAGCACGGGGGTCAGTGAAGCAGAAGCAGGGTCTTCTTGTGAAAGACTCTAGTGTAGCTTTCTTTTTAAAAATGTTTAATGTTTTTCCAGCTTTATTGCAGTATAGGTTTCTGGTGAAATAAAATGCTGATGCACAATGTCTACTTTCTAGTTATCTTCATATTTGTCTGGTGCAACCCCAAATGATGGGCTTCCCGAGATCCGTTGGCATCAAACGGCAGACTTTGGCTATGTCCCTAACCTAAGGATGCCCAACACTTTCATGGCTGTAGCTGTGGATCTCTGTGATAGGAATTCGCCTTTTGGCAGGTGGGTGCTTCTTGGGCTTTGTTTGAACAATAATATATGTTCTTTGTCTGTGGCCTTCACTCTGATGTTCACTTGTGAGGGGACCTGAGGATTGGACATTAGAAGCATGATTTATCAGTCATTCACATGGGATGTGCTGCAGTAACCAGAAACCCTCACCATCCCAGTGCCTTGATGCCACGGAACCTTATTTCGCGTTCACACTCCATGTCCAAATAAGGTCAACAGAGAGGCTTTGCTCTCATCGTCATTCACAGATCCAGAGCGACAGAGGCTCCAGGGTGATCTGTGCTTCCACATGCACCTACGGTTTCACGTTGGCAATTAAATGCTTCCCAACCCAAAGCAACGTAAGTCACTTCTGCTCACATTGCACTGGCCAAAGCAAATCCCATGGCCATGCCTGTCTTCAGCGAGAGCAGGAAATGGAATTCTACCTGCTCAGAGGTGGACTCAGAGGGGGACTATCTGGATGACTACCCCGATGTTAACAGCCCCTATGATTACCACCCGCTAGCTGTAGGATACCAGGGGATTTCATTGTGAAACGGAGCCCAACACAGAGTGTCTGGATTATAGTAGGAGCCTGAATGAACATTTCTTTCTTTCTTAATTTTATTTATTTATTTATTTATTTATTTATTTATTTATTTATTTCAGCTGCGCTGGGTCTTTGTTGCGGCGCGCGGGCTTCTCTAGTTGTGGCGCATGGGCTCTAGAGCACGCGTGGGCTCCGTAGTTGCAGCATGCGGGCTTAGCTGCAGTATGTGGGATCTTAGTTCCCTGACCAGGGATCAAACCCGGGCCCCCTGCATTGGGAGTGCAGTCTTAACCACTGGACCACTAGGGATATTTATTTAGTTTTGAATGAATGAATGTTTATTGAATGAACAAATAAACCTAGAGGAGACCAAGTAATGAACAGCTGATTCAGATGAAACACAGGACTTTCAGTGGTTGCAGCAGTCTTACGAGAGCTCTCCTAGGTTAGTTCCAATACCTGCCCTCCCTCCCTCCTTCTCTCCCTTTATTCTTTCCTTCCGAGTCCTCGGTTATTTCAAGGTTTCCGACCCGTAGAAGGCCCAGAGCCCCATCTGTGGTTACAACTCACCATTTCTCTTAGGCTGACTCGCCACAGATCACTGGCTATTAGATTCAGTCAACTTTATTCTCACCTTCTTAAGGGGTGCTTTGTATAAGATTTCCTTTTTTAAAAAACGTGATTATTGTTGAGCCCAAACCCACAGTTCTCTACCTCTTCTTTATCCTGTAGCACACACCCTCGGGATAAGCAGACGGTGGCCTACAGGCTGCACCTGGGGGCCCGTGCCGTGGCTTATGGGGCAAAGTTGACCTTTCAAGGACCACTGCCTCAGAAGATAGAACTCCTGGGCGACATGGGGCTGCTGAACCTCACATATTCCCAGCCAATCCAGGTGCAGAGGCACAACAACAAGATATTTGAGGTGAGAACTGCAGAAACAGTAGGGATTCATCCTGTGGGGGGTTGGGGGGGGCGGGATATCCTCCACGCCGAGGCCCACCTCTAATTATCACATGACTGCGAGGCAGGTTTTGGTTGGTCAGGGGCTGAGTTTATCTCAGAGCAACAAAAAAGCAGCTACTGATTGATTCACTTAGAGGCAATTTTGATGGGACCACCAAGGAAGGGAAGACGTGCCCACATTGAAATGATACTCCTTTTGCGTTTTCCCTCCCAGAGCAGCCATCTTTGCGTGGGAAAGGGCCCGTGGCTTTATGTGTGGACACCTATTGAAAGGACCCTCGCTCCAGAATGTTTCCCTCACTCGTAGACATCTTTTCTTTGTCACACTATCCTAAATTCTGATTTTCTTTTGAGTCTCTCCTTTAAGAGGTTGAAGCTTGGTGAGTTGCAACTTAGTATGAATTACTGTAACGGAACTCTGTATTCGCTTCTAATACCTGGTGAGGATCATTCCTCTGTGGAACTGGGGCTATTGATTAAACAGCTTCTTTAGGAGTCTTCTAAGGTCGGGGTTGGCGGTGGAGGCATTCCCAGGTGGAGCATTTATATGAGTGTCTTTGGGAGCCCCGAAGTCGTTAGGCTGTGGCGGGCGGTGAGTGAAAAGAGGGCATTGGAGGGGGGATGAAAGAATGTAGAAGACAAACTGTACACAGGAGTTTATCTAGGACTGTTCCTCCTCTGGAATCCTAACCGGAGCACCCACCTGCCTCAGGTGCTTCCTCAGCACCTACGCCACCTAGCTTCTTTGCATGCTGGGTTTTAGGTGAATCCTAGCTCCAAGGAGCCTCTGTGTTCTGAGTTCTCCTCTCTAGTCAACAGCTGGCAGCCTGCCCATCGTCTGGACCTGGAATCTTAGCTGGGACCAGGACAGAATTGAACCTTGGGAACTGGGTATTTTATGCTCCCTTCACCAGATAGATTGTTTTCTGACTTGAGAACAGCTTACCATCCAAAGTTCCTTTGTGCCCCTTCTTCATTCTCCAGCTCCTTTGGGAGCCAGAGAGCAGCACAGCGGTGCCTCGCTTCACCCAACTTCCTGCCTGCTTTGCTGTTTGGCCGGAGGATCACAGGCAGGTTGTCCAGGGGAGCCTCCCTGAATGTTTCATGACTACGCTGCCTTGTCTCCCTCAGTCATTTAATGTTTTACTCATGGATTTAAGCATTTATATTAGCACGTGAACTTTTACTATGGATCTGTGGCTGTGCTGACCAGACCCAGCCTGGACTCAGGTTTGTTCTGGTCACTGTAGGAAATGTGTCTGTGGCTGCGAGTGGCCGCTTCTCCTCTTTCAGTCTGTCTGAAGAGCAGTCCCGCCTCTTGGCATATCCTCCTGACCTAACTGTTCCTGTTTATGACTCTCCTGTTAGATCTCCTGTTGCAGTGACCATCAGTGCAAGTGGCTTCCAGCTCCCATGGACACTTTCTCCGCCCAGACGCTGGCCCTGAATGTCAAGTCTTGTCACAACAGCCTGGTTGCTGTTCGCTATGCGTGGACCACATGGCCTTGTGAATATAAGCAGTGTCCCCTGTACCACCCCACCAGTGCCCTGCCAGCTCCTCCCTTCACTGCTTTCATTACAAACCAGATTCCTGGGTATCGCAGCAAGGTTGCTAAATGATTCCGTTGCAGTATGATCACATCTTAGACGTAAGTGTGGATCCTTTAGATTTGGGCATTTAGGAGTTTAAATGACAGCTGTTGCTTTTTAATGGAAATGAATAGAACTGCCTCATTGACAGCGCCCAGCTAGCACATGGCTGTTTCCATATTCTGAGATGCCAGAGCTGGTAGGCAAATGTAACGCTTGTCTTTTGTCCTCCAGTTGGGCCAGGTATCTGTATTAGAATAATTCCAAACTACAAACAACTTGAATCTCAATGTCATTCGCTTCCCTTATTACTGGGAGTGAAATGTCTTTAACACTTTTGTCCCCTTACCTCCAGACTGTGGCAACTCGGGGTCGGAAGAGATTTTAAGGCCATGCAGGCCGGCTAGCATTTATGTTTTTTTCTATAAAATATGAGAGGTGGTTATCAAATTTCTGTATAAAGTTTCCCTTCTAAACTCCCCGTTTTTCCTCATGTGGAACTGAAATGTTTCTTCCACTACACAACAATCTTTCAGAGAACTGATTTCAGCCCTATTTTGTTCCAAGCTGAAAACAATTCTATTCCTTTAGTCTAAATAATGATAATGTGAATATTTAACAGAAAGAAACCAGAATCACGTGCAGGCATTTTGGGAGGCGCTAAGGGATGGCCTCAAGGAGGGAAGAGAAGGGCGAGCTGGAGCAGCCCATGGGGAGGCCATGTGACCGCAGAGGTCATTGAGAAGCAAACAGAGATATCAGGCTCTTTAAAGGTAAGAGGTTTAACTATGAAAAGGACAATCCAGATGGAGGAACAACGTGAGGCTGAAAGTAAAGCTACAGGATAAGCATTTAGAAAAGTAATCTAGATGGGGCAAATGTGAAAGAGGGCTTTTGTGTATACTATTAAGAATCATAATGCTGTTTATTGGTTGATTAAGAACAGTTAAAGGCACTTGACAATTGTCTGTAATCTCTAAGAAGCTGGAAATAAAAGTATAATCATTAGTCACGTGTACACATTCCTCTCTAGTCAAAACTGGGTTATGAATGGGCTTGCAAATTGTCCCCTGAACCTGAGAAAGGAGACTAATCTGTGGGTAGTTTCCATTCCCTTAATGTGAAAAATGAGAACGAAAGCATAAGCATCACTCTCTCCATACCTGTCCCCCAAGGGGTCCTGGCGTAACTGAAGAGCAGGAATGCATCGTCAGTGCCAGGATCTTAGTAAAAAGCGAAACAGCTACGCAGCTTGCAAGGAACTCTGCTCCTTCAAGGACTTCCCAGCGCACAGCTGGCTCCTAACACCCAAACCTTGGCCTCTTACTCATCTGGCCTAACAGGAACCACGGACCCAGTAACAGACTCCTGCGGAAAAGCGAATGTACTGTCCACTCCTCCTCACCGCAGCACTCACGCGCGTCGCGTGGCGGCCGTTCTAACTTGGAAGAAGCTAGAAACAGTTAAGCGCTCCAGGCCCAGGTTCCCTTCACCCCCAGTAAGCTAGGGCACACAGTGTAAAACGTTAGGTTTAGGTGGTGGATATCTTAATGAAAAGTCATATGAAAGTTTATTTTTAATGGTTGAATAATTTAAAACATTCTGTGGGAATTCAGTTTCTTTCCCAAATGAAAATAACTTTTTACTATTTGAAAAAATCGAATTCATAATCACTAAGAAGACTTGGATGCTAAAGAAAAGTATACGTAAGTAAAAATCACCACAAAATTCATCATTTGGAGACACTTAATATCTTGGTGAACATCACCTGATTTGTTTAGGTCACATTTTACATACTACTACACGGTATATTATTTTGTAATCTGCGTTTCTGACTTATTCTAGAGAAATAATTTTCCTATGTAAAGTGAAAACAGATTTAGTTTGTTTCAGTTTGTGGGAGCTCCATATTTTCTTTAACTAATTTGCCATCAGTGGACATAGAGGGTTTTAAACAAATACTGTGATAACTGTTACATGCAAACACCATCCCGCACTTAATTCCTTAGGGTCCTGAATATGGAATAATAGGTTTAAGGATAAATATGTTTAACATTTTGACACCTATAGCTTAACCCTCCCAAAGGGTTCAACAGTTTACATTTCCACCAAGGCACAGTCCCATTTTCTCCCTCATTTTCACTGACATTGGATGTTGTCAAACTATCTTCAACAATCCAATAGATGAAAAGATTTTTTAAGTATGCTAGCTAGGGCAGTGTTTTTCAAGCTACTTAAAATGATGATCCATAGTAAAAACACTTTACATCATTCCATGTATCCCCATGTGTATTGTGTGAATGGTATATAAACGCCTATATACACACTATAGTTGAAACCACTTTCAACCTTTGACGTGCGATGTATTCCAATATGTTCTAATTGTCTTCTAATTTAATTTTAAAAGATGTGGGTCTTGATTGCCTAAGTTTAAGAACAACTAGTGTGTTGAGATTTGTAGTTTGAAAAACACTGTTCTAGGAAAGCTACAAAATGAATACTTTAATTAAAGGAAAACCGTGCACTAACTTACATAAATTTTTTTTAATGTCCTTAGAATGACGCTCACTTTGAATCTGTGATTAACTCAGGCTGTAACAGAATGGAAAGATACTGGTTATGTGATAAAAGCAGCATATACCATTTCTGTGTAAGTGCAAATGGCTTCAGGCACCTTATGCAGAGAAAAAAGAAAAACGAAAAACATTGACAGTTTTGCGTAACTCCTTTCTATCCCTGATTTGCTATTATCCAAATTTTACTATTGTTTTTGCACTGTAAAAGCTATACAAACTTGTAAGACTATAAATAAGAATCATAAAATTAGTGTTAGTTACTTTAGTTTCTGATACTTTGCAGTGGCCAGTGTGATGTGCTCTAAATGCTGCATCAGATCCCTCCCTCTGCCATCCAGATATAGTCCTGTAAGATGCTAGGCCCATTTGTTTCCTCCCCCGTTAGCAGCTATGGACGGTAGCACAGTGACAATCCAGTTCTCACCGCCTTCCCCATTCTTCTACTTCCGGGGTCCTTTTGTTCCTTCCCATTCCAGGCCGGGCTGGGTGGGCAGCGAAGCATCCCACAAGGCACCGTGGAGTTGTCCTGGCTGGGATTAGGTGTTGTGGTATGCCTCTACCTTAATGCTGTAAGCAGAGTCCAAAAAATTCAGTTATACAGAATGAGGAATTACATCATTACACGACTAACGAACTGTTGGGGTGAGTCTGTTACGGAGGATGGGAACCAATCACGTTCTATCTAAATGTGTGTTATCATGTGGTTTAGCTAAAAGCACATTCTCCAATAAGGAGCCACAAAGGGAATGTAGGAAGGGTTAGAGAGGATTTTTTGATCCCCTTGTGAAATGTGAAAAAGATGAACAGTGGGCCTGGGACTGGACCTTGCAGCTTGGGGATAAGCAGGATTTCACTGTGGTGACGCTGACATGAAAACAAAGCAGCAGCTGGTTGTAGGGGCTGCGATTTAATATTCACTGACCTAGATCAGAATCAAGGGTGCAAGGTTGTCAGAATCTTACTACCTTCCTCATGAGTCAGCAGCCATCTCTCCCTCTGGTTTACAAAGGACTTAAGTTTACCTCAGGCAGAGCTAAGCCAAAAGATTATATCCTGATTACAACAAGATGAAAATAAGCAGAACTGTCAAGAAAAATTTATTACTAAAAATAAAGCAGCTGAAGTTTTTCCCAGGAAAGCTGTCACCATGGGAACCTCCGCGACAAAATGTGTTAATTTACTATCTTCTTCACTTGAGTCGCTGCCTTCTTCCATATAGTCTTAAGTTTTAGTTTAAGATAAAAAATCCATCCTGATGAAAATGATGTGGTCATTGATCCCTTCCTGTTCAATCTGAAGACTGAGTTGGGCTACACTGTGACGGAGACTTCAAGTGCTGTAGGTGAGTATCTACCAAGGGTTCATGTGTCAGGAACATGCGTTGATAAGAAGACACAAAGGCTGTAGGCTGAAGCTCTGGGAGGTCCAAGGATCCTGGAGAAAAAAAAATTCCTCAAGTTCCACTGCTGCCTGGGAATCTCAGGAGACTGGCTTGACCAGACACATACGTGTCCTTTTAATTCTTTCAACTCTTTTGCATCTGTCAGCCCAGTTCTGCCCTTGTTTGGTAAGACAGGACAGATACTTACTTTTACAATGAAGAAAACTGTGGCTGAAATACAGCAAGTGGTACTGGAAAAATTGGACAGCCATATGTAAATCAGTGAAGTTACAACACACCCTCACACCACATACAAAAATAAACTCAAAATGCCTTTAAGACTTATTATAAGACATGACACCATAAAACTCCTAGAAGAGAACATAGGCAAAACATTCTCGGACATAAATCGTACCAATGTTTTCTTAGGTCAGTCTCCCAAGGCAATAGAAATGAAAGCAAAAATAAACAAATGGGACCTAATCAAACATAAGTTTTTGCACAGCAAAGGAAACCATAAACAAAATGAAAAGACAACCTACGGACTGGGAGAAAATATTTGCAAATGATGCGACTGACAAGGGCTTAGGTTCCAAAATATACAAACAGCTCATACAACTCAAAAACAAAAAAAACAACCCAATCAAAAAATGGGCCAAAGACCTAAATAGACATTTCTCCAAAGAAGACATACAGATGGCCAAGAGGCACATGAAAAGATGCTCAACATCACTAATCATTAGAGAAATTCAAATTGAAACTACAATGAGGTATCACTTCACACCAGTCAGAATGGATCATCAAAAAATATACAAACAATAAATAATGGAGAGGATATGGAAAAAAGGGAACCTTCTTGCACTGTTGGGGGAATGTAAATTGATATAGCCACTATAGAGAACAGTATGGAGGTTCCTTAAAAAACTAAAAATAGAATTATCACATGACCCAGCAATCCCACTCCTGGGCATTTACCCAGACAAAACTATAACCCGAAAAGATACATGCACCCCTATGTTCACAGCAGCACTATTTGCAAAAGCCAAGCCATGGACAGATGAATTAATAAAGAAGATGTGGCATATACACATACACATACACACACAGAGGAATATCAGCCATAAAAAAGAACGAAATAATGCCATTTGCAGCAACATGGATGGACAGAGATTATCACACTAAGCGAAGTAAGAAAGAGACAAATACCATGTGATATCACTTATATGTGGAATATAAAATATGACACAAATGAACATATCTATGAAACAAAGACTCACGGACATAGAGAAAAGACCTGTGGTTGTCAAGGGGGAGGGAAGGATTGGGAGTTTGGGACTAGCAGATGCAAACTAGTATATACAGGATGGATGAACAAGGTCCTACTGTATAGCACGGAACTATATTCAATATCCTGTGATAAAACATAATGGAAAAGAATATGAAAAAATATATATGTGTATAACTGAATCGCTGCTGTACAGCAGAAATTAACACAACATTGTTAATCAGCTATACTTCAATAAAATATTAAAAAAGAACAAAACTGGCTGAAATCGATCAAGTGACTTGCCTAGGGTTACACAGCACAGTAGGCCGAGACAGAGAAGTTAATACTATCTTCTTATTTCTAGTCCAGAGCTCTCCCTATATGACTCCTATGCCGGATCCCCTGATCACTCCACTCATTTGTGGGAGGGAATCCACGGAACATAGGCAGGACCAAGGCCATGACCTGATCCCCTTTACTACATCTGAAATTTCAGTCCCACAGTAAACTTTCCCTTGTATTCTGCTTAGGTCTTATTTAGGTTAGAAAATGAGATGCCCTAGTTTCTCGGTGAGCCCTGCCTCACCATGATCTCAGCCACGCCTTGTGACTTCTGCGAGGGCTGCCCATGGCCAGAGCAGGGAAAGCTTCTATCACTCACTGTCCAGACATGGGATACTCAGCGATGGATGAAGAGGGGAGGGTTGCCTAAAAATGGCCAATTTTCGAAGCAGAAGGGAAAAAATAAAAGATACCTTGTAGAATGGGATCATTGTGATCTTTATGGAAGGTCTGTCTCTGAAAGGCTTCAAAGCTTGTAGCTGCATCATTCTCTAGCTGTCCTTGGGGCGGCAGACTGTCTCCAGGTTTACACACGTCGAACTTCACCCACTGGTAACTGCAGGACCAAAGGGATCATTACTGAGTTGTCTGTTGGCCATACAACCCATTCTTCCCTCCAAAGGGATCAGGTGTTTTTTTCTTTAGGTCTCTGCCATATATATCTGAAAAACATATTAACTAACCAAAAATGAAAAGCACACAGACAGGCTTCTTTAGTGACACACACTCTGCAGGACTTCCCAATCCATTTGCTGTCATGGTGCACACAGACGATAAGAACTTCAGTACAGTGGGGTACTGGCTCCTGCTCGCCGTCCAGGGGCCGCAGAGGACCAATACTGTGCCTTGTGCACAGAAGCAGCTCATTAAATAGATGAATGAGCAGAGCAGTGACTGCCAGTTTAGGTCCCTGGCCCACCTGGTCCCTGGGGCTTCTTTCAAGGGAATGGATTTGACCCCACTTACTTGACGCATTTTCGAGCTCCTGGACAACTCTGGATCAGGTTGTGGATGGCTGGATGAGAAAACCCAAAAAAGTCAGCTCCAGATGGATGCACGTTGGGCATTAGTTTCCCCCTAAACAGGAGAGGGAGAATTTTAGCTTGAGAGCTGAGAGGGAGATGAGAATGTGCGTATGAACACATGGAATAAGCTTTCCTCACTTGGATACTCTGGAGACGGTAGCTGCTAAGACATTCAAAGGACACAGGATAGCTTTCTATAAAATAAGGGATCTCTACTCATTAAAAGCAAGAGAGAAGGCCTCAGTGTACCCAAAGTGATCTTTTTAGCCTGTCTCCAAGCTGTTGGTCAACTTACATAGCAGCACTTATGGTCTCGAGCAGTTCTGCATGACAGGCGTCTGCAGAAGAGCTGGCAATGGCATTCTGGGGGTCATCTTCAGGAACAATTTCAAACTGAGAAATACAAGGGAGCAATGAGGTCAGTCTTCAAGGAGAAGGGGGTAGAGAGAGTCACACTACTGCTATTACTCTTTCTTCACTCTGGAACCTGAAGCTGAGTATACCAGGTAGGAGGTGGGTACCCTTCCTAGAGGGCTGTTAAAAATTCCAAGCCAAGAAAACAGAGCAAGTCTTCTGTTTAATTTTATACTCTTTGCTTGACTCCTCCCCAGAGGCCAACACTTAATTTCTTATATACCTGTCCAGATGCCTTCTTATCCACTTACTTACATTTGTAAGTATAAATACAAATGGTATTTTAAAAACAAATGAAATCATTCTCCACATAATCTTAGATTTACTTTATAACGCCTAGGAAGAGTATAGGCCATTTTGACTGCAAATCGCCATTTCACTTTACTTTTTGAGTTGTAAAATATCTTATTTATAAAAAGAAACTGTTAAATCAAAATTATACTGATACTGAGGAATTTCTGCCAAGAAAGCATTATTGTAACAAGTGCTATCTACCCAACTTAATTCCTTGACCAGTTTTCTATAAAGTTCACGACTTTTTGCAAAAAAAAAAAAAAAATTTCTGTAACAGCTTCTCTTTAGTCATTTAAATTCCTTAACCAGTTTTCTATAAAGTTCAGTTAAGCAGTTTCCAGTTTTTCAATGTTTAATAAAATTATTCCACACAGAATTAATTTATTTTCTGTATATATATATATATATATATATTTTTTTTTTTTTTTTTTCCTTTTTCCCCCCAGTGATGTGCATTATTGATCATTTTTTTAGAATCCAAAAGCGAACCTTACTGAGTACAGTTTCTACTGCTGTTAGTTTTCTTCTGTGGTTATTTCATTTGATTCAATTTTCCTGTGTCAATTTTAGAGCTCTTTCAATTTTGTCAGTAATAAATTATCTTGAGAGTAGTTTTAGTCAATGGTTTTGTTACTTCAGTGACATGTTGCAAGTTTAACATTGTGATGGTTTATACTGATTTCTCAGCTAATTCATGAAAAAACCGTAAACAATTATCTTTAAATATTTCAGGATTGCTCTTCTACTTGGTATTGATCATGCCAATTCCAATTTTTTATATTGTGTGTAAACTATATATTCTATTTGAGCAAAGAGCAATTAAAAGGCCAAAATGTAGTATTTTGGTTTGGGGTCTTTCCCTACTTCATTCTTTTAACTGCCGTATAATATTACACAAGGTGGATATATCTTAATTTTTAACGATTTTCCTATTGGTGGGTATTTAGGCTACTTTTAACTTCTTGCTATTGCAAACAATGCCACAATTACATTGTTGTACGTAATTCTTTTGTTCACATTTGCACATTTCTCTAAGACATACTAGAATATCTAGAAGTATTCTGGATCAAAGGAGTCACACATTAAAATTGTTGATACTGCCCAGCTGCCTTCCAAAAAAAGGAACTTTACAAATTTTCCCTCCTACTAATGCCATTTGTACTTATTTTCCTACATGCTGGCCAACATCTGCTATTATCTATCTTATATTTGCCTATGAGAAAAAATAAGATCTTTCTGTTTTATTTGCGTCTCCCTAACTACTAGTAAGGTCTGCTCTCATCGACCATCTGCACTGTTTCTGTGAAATGCCTGTTTTATCTGACTGCTTTTCTATCTTAGACCACAAGAGCACTTTATCTGGATATTAATCCACTGTGACATATTTTCTTCTTGTTTGTCGCTTTTAACTTTGATTATGGTGGTTTTGGTCATTCAGAAGTGTTTAAATTTTTAATAGTCAAATCTGTTACTACTTTCCATTATGGCTTCTACTTTTCACATCTTGCTAAGGAAAACCTTTTCACCTCACCCTAGGATTATAAATATATTGTTCAATATTTTTTAAATATATTTATAGTATAGAACATTTTATAAAGCTAAAGCAATTAAAAGTCATACTGGCATTTCTAGACAAATAGATGAAACAGAATCATCTGGAAACATACTCAATTATTATATGTATTTAGTGTGTCACTTGATATTAGGGGAAAAAAATTAAAGCTCACAATGTACCTGAAAATAATGTCTGGATGGGTTAGTGGCTTAATAAAGGAAACAAAAAAAACCTCAAAGACTTTTTTTTTTTTTAAATATTTTAGCAATTTGTCTTTCAGAGGAAATTAAGGACCAGCTTGTCAATTACCATTTACATTCTATTAGGATTTTGATTAGATCTTCCTTGAACATATAGATTTGTTATAATTATTACTACAATATCGACACTGTCTGTTAGAGCACTTTCTAAAGAGAAATGCTGCATGGCCAAGGTCATCCGAACTCTCAGCTGCATCTGACAGCGTTCTAACCAGGATAGGAGTGACGCAATACTGTCCACATGTGTCAGGCAGGCCCTCAGCTTCTGCTCAAAGGTTCCTTCCCTTGCTTCTATCTCCTTCCACCCCCTTTTCTAGCGATCTGTAACATCATCAGACAGTGAAGCCTGAAACTCTGAAAATGGTCTATTTTCCCCCAATGATCAGAGGAGACTGGGAAAGTGAATTGTCTTGAACCACAGCACTGAGAAGGATGAACAAAGATACTTAATACGACTAGGATTCAGGTGTCCCAGGTCCTCAAGAGTACGTGCAGTCAGAAACTAATATGCAGTTTCTCTGCTACCTCCATCTTGGTCCCACCTGAGTTGGCAGAGTGTCAAACTAATCTTCCCTGAATGTAGGCCTGCACTTTACAAACAAGCAGCTTGATCAGGCCTCATGTGGTCACCATATTGACATTAGCACCAGCACGGTTCAAGGGAATGGGTGTCAGTAGGACAATCACACAAATGCAGATTCACATCCCAGCTCAAATCACTTATTAGCAGAGGTATGACTCAGGGCCAATCACTTTCTGCATCTTACACACTATCTACCTTGTAAAGTGTCTGAATAGATAATATATATTAAGTGTGTGTCACAGAGAAGGTTCTCAAAAAAAAAAAAGAAGAAAACCAGCAGTTATTCTTAGAGTGGGTACCTGAGGCTGTGTGCCACCGTCCTTGATCTGACAGGTGTACAGACACTGCTGGTCTGGGCTCTTCATGCTGGCGTACACCCGAGTGCTGCAGTAGCCCACAGGGTAGATGGCGCCCTCGTCATGGAAGCCAGGTCGGTCGGTGATGATCTATAAAAAAAGATACCCCCAACCCACCACTGAGGTCACCAGAGAATGCAGAAGTCCAGGGTACTGTGGTAGCCTTTAGAACCACCTTGGGGCTGCAAAGAGTGACTCAAATCAGAGAGAGAAAGAGCGTAGGATGTGTAGCAGACAAAACTGACCTGGTTTCCTAGGGACTGGAGATTTTCTGGGGTTGGTCTGGATCAGCAAGGGGCTGCTGCTAATGGGAACAGGGAGGGAAGGCTCAACCCCACTCCCGTATTTCTGATTCTCCTCTCTCTTTATCGCTGGTCTCACTCACCTCCCCCAGGCTATATACTGTTAGACCCCCCAGTCCGATGGGGAACACAGGCCGTCCTGAGGGATCCAGGGCAATGGGCTGAACCAGCTTGCGAGCACCTGTCTCCATTTTCTTTTTCTTGGATGTTTTCTTCAGAACTGAAACGCAAATCTAGGGTCACCCACTTTAGGCCCTTCCCAGTGTTGAGGGGAAGGGAAAACTCTGCACGATGCTAAGAGCAATAAGCCAATCCTGGTTCTACACACTCCCTGAATGGGCACATGGGACTTTTCCCCAAAGCCCTGAGTATTCTTCTAACCCACCCACCTGGCAGTAACCAATTTTGGTATCAGTGCTTAGTATCTAAAAGCCTTATACTTTTTAAGGCCTCTGACTTCATTTATAAGGTCAGCAATTTCCCAAGTCATCTGTGTGCTCAAAAGGCCACCAAGCCCATTTCCCTGCCTCTAGGAAAGACTGAACTGAAGGCACCCAGAGAGTCGGGTGTGTAGGAGAAGGGGGAGGCCTTGGCCTGCTCCCATCACATTTAACCAGGTCTAACTGCAATTCCTCCACCTGAAGTGGCTTTAAGACACTTGGTTTTCAAGGGCTACCAGGGCTGCTTAAGGACCAGGTGAGAGTTTAAGTCATCTCTGTGGCCGAGTGTCTACCAGTTAGTACCAGGTCTTCGTCATTAGTCGTTGAGCCACTGGGGCAACTGATATCCTCTCCCCAAGGTACCTTCCAGTTTGTTGTTCTCTTTGCCTTTTTCTTTTTTCTCCTTCTTGGATTTCTTTCCAAATGGTTCCTCAGCTCCAGTGCTAGGCCCAGAAAGCGGCCCAGCTCCCTGGATAGTTCCCACAGAGCTGGCCACACCGTAAGTCAGGGGCAAACTGGAGCTGTGGGAAGGAGCTGCAACCTGTGCTTCCCCTTCAGTTAGAGCCTGGAGCTGAAGGAGCTTCTTTAGCAAGTACCTGAGGTCGGGAAGGAAAGGGAGAAGAAGTATGAGCTTCTGTTTTATCACAATTCCATATTTTATTCAAGTACTGGGAAAAGCCAGAACTATATACAAAGATTATTGCATTCACAAAAATAAGGTTCTTATTGGACCCCGGGAAAAATGAAGCTCCAGAGAATACTACTTCAACAAGCTAAGGATAAAGGATTATAGCGTATCTCTTTTGCATCTGGAGAGCTCTTCTAACTAGATGTTGGAAGGTGTTAGGCTTCTGAAGGGCACATACCATGAACTGCACATGTACATGTACTCACGGAGTACTACATATGGAATAAATATATGTAGAATGAAATGCAGTTTCTTTTATTCCTTGGCTTTTATAACTACAGTTATAATAAAATTACTTATAAGATGTGGCAAGAGAGATGAATAGAGCTGTTTCATCATCATGGTCCAACACGACCTGGGTAAACAGGAACCAATACCATAGGTTGTGACTTTGTACCAGATTAGTGGCCAGTGGGCTGTGCAAAGCACAAAAATCCCGATGGAGGAAAATTCATAGGAGCAGAAACACCGTATCAATCACCAAAAAATGTAATTCTGAACACAAAATGAACCAGCTCACCGTCTTTCTTCTTTAGCTTTAAGAAATTTTTCCTCAAGACGAGCAATTTCATCACAAATAGCAGCATTTTCCTTGAAGAAAATTTTGAATATAGTCACACAAAATGAATAAAAGATCAAAGTATTATGCTGAGAAGAGGAGCTATATTCCAAACCAAAGAAGTCTGTGTTGCTGGGTGAGAAGAAAGTGCTAGTCTACCTTGCAGAGAAACTGTAGACAAACCTATAAGTAAAGGTAGGGTCAAGTTCTAATGTGGGCAGAGTAATTAGATAATTTATAGAAACTGGTGCACCTTTGCGTGAAAAGGGGGAGCTATTAATGATTTTGCCAGAACAATACGGCAAAGTAGTAGGGCTGTCCTAGGCAAACCAAGACATATGGTCACATTAGGGTAGCCTTTAGCAAAGTAAAGGGTATACTGCTCAAATCATAGATGCTTAAACTCAACCCTTGTAAATATGCGGAAGGTCCATTCCCAAGTGCCTTGACTCTTGGGGAGCTTACAAAGCGAACCTAACCCAAAGCATCCCATGTAGTATGAACCTTAAAGAGAAAATATAGATGGAACAAAATCTAGTCTAGTCTATAAAATTCTTAAATTTCATAACCTATTTATGTGTATTCAAGCATCAGCTTTCTTTACTGACGATTCAATCTAGTTCCCAAGCATGAGTCCTGAGGGGACTGCTCCAATCTGGATGCTCCATAGTTGGGACCTCAAACTTTGAATGATCAAAACAATATCCTTTTTCTTCACAAAACCTTCTGCATAGACTTGGTGGAACCAGTATCCTAACAACATAGGTGCCAAGCTTTAGGTACCTTTGACATTTAGGGAATAAAAGAAAGGTAACATAATTAGATACTAAATCCTCTTAGTTCTGCTTTTCTTACTTCTCTCCAGTGTACATGGCAAGTGCCAAATAAATGTTTTCGGAATGAATGCTCTGATTTCCAAATCTTTCCTTATGCTTCCAAAAAAGCTGAGGGATGTTCTAGCTTTTGGTAGAAGAAGAGGTAAGGTAGTGATGATTCAGATGTGGGGAGATATTTGGGACACCTGCTATTTCCAAGCATTGAGGTGAGCTTGAGCAAGCCAGAATATTATAACACTTGGTTGTGGCTGGAAAACCATTTCATTCATTCAGTAAATCCAGTGCCTCTACAATAAAGGATCGGGAAGACTCAAAAGAGGTTAGAAGGGGGGATTACTGAAAGCTTCATGTGCCTGTTCGTGGAAGGGGTCAGTTATGGGTAAGCGGGGTGCTTGGGAAACAGGCTGCGTAATGGAAGTACTAAAGAAACTAGAATCAGGTGTTTGAGTTGGAGCCACGGCGCTGACATAGTGCCCTCGAGCAAATCATCTCTCGGGGCTTAAGTGCTGCTACTTTAAAAATAGCGCCTCATTCTCAGGTTTCTCTGGAGGCTCAAAGGCATTTCCAGGAGTTCGGCGGTAATAACGATAATGACTAAAACTTATTAGCACAGCTTCTAGGTACCGAGCGCTTTACTTTCCTCATTTAATCTTCATTAAGTCTGCAAGGCAGTTATTAGCTCTCATTTGCAGATGAGGAAACACGATTACAGGAATTACGTAATTTGTCCAAGGCATGAGGCTAACAAGAAGTAATGTACAATGTAAAACCTAACACTATATTAATACTGTCACTCTGGGAAGGGGAACAGCTCGGGGAAAGATTTCGCAAGTTAGGAGAGGCTCGAGGCTGAGAAGGGCTGAGCGCCGGTCACACTCACAAACACCGTGGCTTTGGCCGCTTTGCGCAGCCGCAGGTACTTGAGCCGGTACTTCTCGTTCTGGCTCTTCTTCGGGAGCTTTTTCATCCTGGCCTTGCTGGACTGCAGCGGGGCCCGCGGCGAGGAGGCCAGGCCGCCCAGCAGGCTCATGGTCCGGCCCCGCTACGGGGGCTCCAGGGAGCGGCCGTCATCAGCTCCTCGGCCGAGGAGTGGCCCCTAGCGCCGGCTACGTCTGGCCTGGGCTGGTGGAAGCCGGCCGCTAGGAATCGACCTCTCTAGAACATTCACGAGGCGCAGGGCTCGACCGCAAATCCTGCAACCAAACCCGGCTCCCGGTGCCTCCCTGCACTTCCGCATCTGCCTCGGAAGTTAGCCGTGACCGGAACTTACATCACGGCGCCGGCCGTGCGTAACTTCCGGGGCTGGGAGTTGGGTCGTCTCGGTTCGGCCGATCCTCGGCTCCGGAAGAGGGGAGGAGAAAGGGAAAGGGAAGGGGAGGGGAAGGGGAGGGGAAGGGGAAGGGGCGGGAAGGGGAGGGAGAGAAGGGGAGGAGAAAGAGAAGAGGAGGGGAAAGGGGGGAGGGGAAAGGGGGGAGGGGAAAGGGGAGGAAGGGGAGGGAAGGAGAATGGGAGGGGAGGGAAAGGGGAATGGGAGGGGAGGGGAAGGGGGAGGGAGGAAAGGGAAGGGGAGGAGGGAAGGGAAGGGGAGGAGGGAAGGGGAGGGAGGGGAAAGGGAAGGGGAGGGAAGGGGAGGAAGGGAGGGGAGGAGAGGGGAAAGGGGAGGGGAGGGGAAAGAGAAGGGGAGGGGAAGGGGAGGGAAAGGGAATGGGAGGGGAGGGGAAAGAGAAGGTGAGGGAAGGGGAGGGAATGGGGAGGGGGAAAGGAAGGGGAGGGGAAGGGGAGAACCTGGGGAGGAGGAGGGCGGCAGGAAAGGACTCTGAGACTCGCGTGTGTGTGTTTAGCTGAGGCGTGTTATCGTTGAGCTAAAGTCGCACAAAAATCTTCCCGAAGCCAATCTCATACACGCTTCTGAACCCCACCCACTGCGTTTCAGCACCACTTTTCCACACTTGATACAGACTGGCCTTCTGGACTGTAGGATGTACTCCAACGCATTGCTGGGACTGCTGCTTTCCCTACTTCCTTTCTTTATACAGCTCGCATAGATGTTTCTTGAGGGCCTGTTACGCTGTCCTTTTACTGGGAGCTGGGATTACAGTGGTGAATAGAAAATAGTCCTCTGCTCTCAGATTAGGATTTAGTAGGGAAGATGGAAGATTTAACCGGCACTTTTAATAACATGCTTGCACTAAGTAGGCACTGAGTAAATATTTGCCTAATGAAACCAAAAATATGTTTCTGTACCTAAACTTATATGTATATAGCTGTAACTTTATAACCAAGTTCTGTCTAATCATCAAATAAATAGACAGTTCTTTAGAATGCAGTATTGGTAAATGAGCTGGGCTGGAAGACAGAAGGCTTGTAGTATTCATTTTTCTCCCAGCAATGCCACTAACTAGTTGAGTGAGCCTCTGGGTCACAGGTTTTTCCTCTCAAAACTGAATATAGTCTTTAGAATAATGAGGTGGATAGTTAAACTGAAAGGTACTCTACTGATATATAATTACCGTCGTATATACTCAAAATTTAGACTTCTAGAATTGTATACAGAAATTAAGGAAAATATGTACAGAGTTAAAACACTAAGTTCAGTAAGTTACTGGAGAAAAAACTAACGCTAAAATAAGTAACTTACAATCAGTTCAAAAAAGGTTTAGAATCGATAACCCAGGTACTTCATTTCTGGAATTGTAAGAACAGTGACAAGAGTCTTGACAAAATGGTTTTAACACAGAGAGAAAGATTACGAGAGTCCTTTTTGTCCATTCGTATTGAAAGCTGTCCTTTTGGAACTCACGGTTCCAGTATGCTTTTACAAACATACTCAAGGCAACCATATAGATTCATTTTTGGAAATTGCCAGGAATACTTTCAGTTTACAAAATATCCATAATCCTGCCTTTCATACTATAGACTGGCACTTTTCCTTGGAACCTGAATATAGGTAGTTCTGACTGACAGATTTTCTTTTTTTCTTCTTCTTCTTTTTTTAACCCTTATTTGCTAACTGCCTGATTTATTTGCTGTTCAGCTGTATTTGTCCTTGCAGGCTTTATTTCATTAGAAACATTTCCTTACAATTTCTAAAACATTTCATGCAAAATTTAGAAAATACAGTGCAAAGAAGATTTTTTTTTAATTCATAATGCTGCCATACGAAGTGAATCACTTTTTTTTTTTTTTTTTTTTTTTGCGGTACGTGGGCGTCTCACTGCTGTGGCCTCTCCCGCTGTGGAGCACAGGCTCTGGACGCGCAGGCTCAGTGGCCATGGCTCACGGGCCCAGCCGCTCCGCGACATGTGGGATCTTCCCAGGCCGGGGCACGAACCCGTGTCCCCTGCATCGGCAGGCGGACTCCCAACCACTGCGCCACCAGGGAAGCCCAAGTGAATCACTTTTAACATGTATGTTTAATTTTTTATTGAAATATGGTTGATTCACAATATTAGTTTCAGGTGTACAGCATAGTATTTTTGCAGATTATACTCCATTGAAAGTTATTACAAGATAATGGCTGTGATTCCCTGTGCTAGACAATATATCCTTGTTGCTTATTTTATATGTAGTAGTTTGTATGTTTAATATTTTAATGCATTTTATATAGGTTAGATCATACCGAACATAATGTTTCCTCTTTTGTTCACTTACCATTATCATAGTCATTTTGTAGTGCTATTATAAGTTCTTTAGAAATGTTATTTAAATGACTGCTTAATGTTCCAGTTATGGCTTAATAATTTTACATAATTATTTACATCCATGTTTGACTTTTTGCTCATCAATTGCTGTGAAGGGCATGTTTGTGTACAAAGCTTTTTCAATACAGGGTATTTTAGTGGCTGGTTCTGTGTTCTCCAGACAATGTAATGTTCCTGAGCAACTATTCACTATGTATTCCGAAGAATATTTATTTATTAGTGCCTATGATGACACAGCCTTTAGGAAACTTATTTAAGAGGAAAAGACAAATACATGGGCTATATTAATATTATTAAGTGTAATAAGTTTTATCTCAGAGGTAGGTATTGGATGACATAGCAGCACCTAGTTAGGGAAGGAAAGAGGAGATTGGGAAGGCTTCTTGAAGGAAATGTGCCTGGGCAGATTTTGAAGGGGAGCTAGCAGTCGGCCCAGTGCAGAACAGAGGAGGGCATCCTGGGCAGTGGGGACAGCATATTCACAGGCTCAGCATCGTGAGAAGCGTGGGAACTGCAAGTTGTTGATCAGAGTGGAAGATGTATGTGGACAGAGGCAAGAGGAGAGACTGAAGGAGCAGGCAGGATTTGGATTGTGAAGGTCTTGTGTACCAACTGAAGAGCGAGGCTTTTACCGAGTGACGACAGGAGGCCATTGATGAATGTCGGTATATCGACCCCTCTGCTTGTTTTAGGTAAACTTATCTGAATTTGTCTAACTTTTCTACTTATCTATATGAAGAGGGGTCGAAATGACTTATGCAAAAATTCTCTGAAGAAATACATGATGTGCAGCTCTACAAATAGCAAATGAGAGACAGCAAGGTATTGTGGTCCGAGCATGGCCTTTGGAGTCAGATCAAGGTTCCAAACATAGCAATGGGAGTTAGAAGCTAAGATGAGTAAGAGAGAGTTGGGGCCCAACAGCACTTTACTATTTATCCTGTTTAGTTCTAAATGGTTGCTATCAGTGATTGGCTGTAAGTGGAGGTAGAGCATCCCCTGGGGTATTAGAAGCATATCTGGGCCCATCAAGAATTACAGAGTCTGCAGCCCATAATCCCAGCCCTTGGTGAAGTGAGTCCCTGGTTTACACAATGAAAAAGCGTATCTGTACACCTCAAGGCTCCACCCACAGCTGATGCATGGCCCTGGCCTTGTTCTATGCTGTCCTTAAGCCCCAAGAGCAGACGGCAAATTCCTGCCATCAGCATCTCTTGGCCCATCTTGCAGGCCACAGGATACCTGGGCAAGGTTGGTGACTTCCACAAGACAAGCTGGGGTTTGAGGCCACACCACAGGGTTCCCAGGGATTTCATATCTTTATTCTCTTACCAGATTACCCCACTTGCTCTAAACTGAGTGTGTATCCTACAAAGGCGTAAATAGAGTGAGAAGAAACTACCTCCATTTAATAGCCTGTAGAAACCTCTCCCTTTGTACAATGTCTAGACTTTAATATTTTTTTGAATTTTTAAAAATAATGGTAACTTTTTTTTTTTAATTTTTTATTTTTTGGTCATGCTGTGCAGCATGAGGGATCTTAGTTCCCCCACCAGGGATCAAACCCATGCCGCCTGCATTGGGAGCGCAGAGTCTTAACCACTGGACCACCAGGGAAGTCCCTAGATTTTAATTTTAGTCTTAGTTTTTCTTCTGTCTTCATATTAAGCTCTAGATCTATTTTTTTTTAGCTTTTGGACTCATCAGCTCCAACTTTCAGATTTGTTTCCATGTATTGATTATATCTTCTCACCTTTGGGATAGCATAATACAGGATGTTCGATTCAGCTAAATGCAAGTTTAGCAATCCTAAAGTGGGTGTTTTTGTATATTAGTGCGTGAGACTTGTGAAGAAGGGGAGAGATTTTTACTTTCCATAAAATTTCTTGCTTCATGGTTTCTTAATTACGGATTTTCATCACACATCCCGTGGGTGAGATGTTTAGGTTTTGAGGGTTCTAAGCCAGCCAATAACGTCATGAAATCAACCACTGTGTCAATGTTGTGCTTCTGGGTGGTTGTGTCCTTCAGCGCACAAAGGACACTCAACCAGCTAAAAGAGATGAGCTCAGAGACGTTGGCTCGGAGGAAAAGAAGGATCACATTGAGATCATTGATGGGACATCCCAGCATCTTTCTGCTGAGGAGGTCAAAAGCCGGGAGCATCTCATAGATGGATAGGAGCCGTTTGTCCCACCGACACAGCCGCATGAGGTTGTATATTACCACTGGAACCAACAGGGTGTATATTGCTACACTGGAGAGACTAACAATCTGGAAAACAGACAGAGAGGTCAGCCTGCACGTGATCAGATCGGGCATGTGGGTCTCATCATGTAGCAGCCCTGTCTTCATGGAACAGCTGAATTCCTCTTGGAAGAAGACATCCAGGTGGAAGTGGCCAAGGTATAGGTAGGTGGCTGAGGTGAAGAAGAGCAAGAGGGAGTTCCTCAGGAGGTAGGCAGCCACTAGTGAGTGTGAGCGCTGCTTACAGGCCAGGTACCGCTCTAGCAAGGGGAATTCAAAGTATCGTTCTTTCCGAGCCCTGGGCAGGGGAAGAAATGAGGCAAGATTAGGAGGGACCATTTAGAACTGTATCCTGAGAGAGCCATGTGGGGAAGTAACAGCATCTGTGTATGCAACACGGCATTACTGGCTCACAGGAATATCTGCCTTCTTTGAGCATAACCCCTCCTTTCCCCAAAGAGAGGTGTGTGAGTGTATCTTAATTCTCCAAGACATGAGTGCAATGCAGTAAACCCAGTGAATGATCAGTGAATAATGAATGATCACTCTGGATTTCTGCCTGGCAAAGCAGACTAAATCTCTAAGCTGAAGTAGGATCCTTAAGAAGCATTAAGACTTATTAACTTAGCACTGGACTGGGATTCTAAATAACCACGTTCTGGTTCTTGGTCTGTTTCCTTTGTGTATGATTTTTTTTAGGCCAGTTCATTCATTTTATAGAAATAAATCTGCTAACAAGTGTTTGTTGAGAGCTGTGGTGTTCAGGTAGATGTAATCCAGTCTCTGCCCTGAAGAAGCTTGCAGTCTGGCTTGTAGGGAAGGGGCAGATGAAACATGCAAATAGGAAATTAAAATAATGCTCGTTCTGTTGCTAAAATGATGGATACAAACCATGGTAGTTGTAAAAGTTAGGAGAGAGACAAACAGTGTGAGCTGGAGTGTTCAGAAACCTCTATGGAGAATATTGTCTTAGATTGGCCTTCCAAAGGTAGATAGGGTTCAGAAAGATAGACAGGAGAAGAGCTTTTTTCAGAGGATAGAGATGTACACAAAACCGAGGAAGAATATGGTTTCTAACCTTAGCTCAGCTGTGCTCTGAGGGGGCCTGCCCTGGCCACCCTATTTAAAACTGCACCTCCCTCCACCTCCCAGCTTTCCTGAGCCCCTTCCCCTGTCTTAGTTTTCTTTATATCACTTATCCTCTACCATATAGCTTTCTTATGTGTTATGCTAATTCACTGTTTGTTTTCCCTCAATACAATATAAGCCCCCGCCCCCAGCACACACACACCCGTATCCACAGCACCCAGAGCTGTGTCTGGTGCTCCTAAATGACAGGTGAATGCTTAAATGAATGAACGGCTTGTTCAGGAGGAAAGCAGGAGACTGCCTAGGTGGAGTGGAAGGCTTCTGTCATTTAGTTGTTTGACAGAAGTCTGAGGAAGTGGTTGATGACAGTGTGTGGAGGGCCTAGGAAAAGTATCTGGGAGAATTGGGCTGTTTTTCCTGTAGGCCTGGGAGGAGCTATTCAGGGTTCTGAAAAAGTGGTCTTTCAGAGGCTAACCCCTTTGTGACTCAGTGGAGTCACCTATAAACTGGAGGCAGAGTCCTTTCCCTCTCCCTGTACAGAGACGATAGAAAGTCAATGTGGTGACGTGTTAAGAATGTTGAATTCTCGAGAAGGATGGTGCAGAGGATAGTTTAAAGATTACTCTGCAAGATCCCATTTTAGGGCTCGACCGCGTCTTTCAGAAAGCAGTGGAGGAGACAACTCACTTCTCCAGCTCATCCCAGAACGCGTGCGGGTCCGAGCCCTCCTGCCGGATCTTCAGCATGTGCTGCACCAGGCGGATGGCACGATTGTAGGATTTGTCCAGCTCGCTGATGATGAACAGCAGATCTGAGCTGAGGGCCGGCACGGCTGCATACTGCCACAGCAGAACCGGCAGGTACATGGCCACGGCCAGGGCCAGCAGGGAGTAGGGGAGGGCCTGCAGGGTGAGAGCGAGCTGAGGAGGGAGGCCCAGGGCGCCCAGACCTTGCAACCTTGCAGACAGGGTGCTGAGTGAGGGGCTCTCCTTCCCCAGTTCCTGCCTCAGAAGGGGAGGGCAGAGAGAGAGACAGACAGACAGAGACGGGAAGGAAGGAAGGAAGGGAAAGAAAGAGAGCAAGAGGGAGCACTAGCTTCCTGTCCCCATTCTCCATGCATGTTAGCCTGGGTAGCTAACCAGAGATCATGGCCAATGGTGGTCATGGCATCCTAGGGGACAGCATCTTCATTCTCAATCTTCCACTTTTCTTTCTCTGACTGCGCCAGACATCCAGAGTCCATAGCTTTCCAAGTCCTGCCAGGGGCCCCGGCATGGCTGACCTTTACTGCAACCCTCCAGAGAGGAGGTCAGGTCCCATTTCCTCCACGTAGCCTGCCCTGCCTTCTCTCATGGGCAATGGCCTTTTCTCATCTTTGGATTCTTGGTAAGACCAAACTACGCCATCAGGTACTGTCTTGGAATCCTTGGGGGCTGTTTCTGGTCTGTATTTGTAAACTGACATTGGGTATTCATAAAGCTGGTGTCCTCCACTACACTATTTGCTACCTTAGATAAAGGACTTTTCCTTATGTTTCTTATCATACTCACCACACCCAACAGGTTGGACACACTGTTTTGCCCACAGTAAAAACCCTACTCGTAGAGGCTCAGTTAAGTGACATTTTTGCTGGGTACTGAACATGCATTATTCATTCTTCGTCAGGTACTATCAGTAGCTCTATTTTATAGACCAAAAAACTGAAGCATGAAAATGTTAAGTGCCCGATACAGGGTTACATGTCTAGCAGGTGAATGAGCAGATTTGGAACCAGGCAGTCCGATTTTTTTTTTTTTTTTTTTTGGCAGTCCGATTTTGGAGCTTATTCCCTTAAGAAATACTGGCCTATAGCTTCTCCTGAACCATAGATGCTTTTTATTTTAGAGGAGAGTTTGAAGAAAAAGAGAGAGGGAGGCTATTTGATTTGTGTGTGTGTGTGTGTGTGTGTGTGTGTATGTGTGCGCATGTGTGTGTTTCTGAACTAAACAAGAGAGACAGGCTAGGAAAGGTATATTAGACCACGAGAGCAAATGAGAACCTTTTCACTCCTGTCTAAGAAATGACGTTTCTTGAAAATGAACTTTTCACCCTAGAGCTTCTGTTTCAGGAGGCTTAAGGTGCAGCCAGAGAATCTGGGCTTAACGAGCACTCAGGCCATCTGATGATCGACAATTTGACTCTTTTCTGACATATGAATCCCCTCTGCAGTACTCTGAACTTGTTACCATCTAGATCCTGCTTGAACACTTCCAGGGACAGACACCTCATGAACTCTTTCCATTAAGTCTCTGGTTTTGTCTGGGTCCTAGAACTGTGGCATTTTGAGGCCCTGTAAACTGTCAGAACTAGAAAACATTATGAGTGACCTCTGATTAAAACTGTGCCTTGGACATACATATTACTTCTGCTCCCTCATGAAACCCCACTAGAATGACAATAAAGGGACCCAAAAGACATAATCCTATAAGGACAAAGAAAATAGAAGAGGAGACAAGAGTAACAAAGTGTTGAAACCTGGGAAGCAGCTGCATGAAAGAAGGTACCAGCCCGCAGAGAGGATGAGAAGTTGAGGTGGGTACAGCCAGGCTGTTTTCACCACAGAACCAGGAAGACTCAGGGATGGGAGATGCCGGGTGTGTCTGAAAATGGGGGCGCAGGTGGGGCTGGAAACAGGAATATTGAGAAAACAGATCCGCAGATCCTTTCTGAAACATGGTGCACTCAGCCGACCGCCCTTGTGGTTTATTCTTTGGAAACGTTAAACCCGACGGATTCTGCACTTGGGTCCATTGAGGGCAGGGGAACATACTGAGAACGGGGGTGAGCTGAATAAGTAGTGAATGCTAACACCCACGGCTGAGTTCCCAGAGGGTTGGCAGACGAGCTTGATACCAACTGCATGCTGCCCCCTCCACCCAAATTAGGGATTGAATGATTCTTCTTGGGAAAACTGACCAGCCCAGAATATCAGATTGCAGATACTGATATCTGGGGTTTTCCCCAATGAAATGGCCCAAAGGGATTACTTTGAACTGACAGCCTCAGCCCTAGGCACAAAACTTCCAATCAGATAAAAGTGGGTGAGCAAATATGACCAGATATTTGAAGAATGCCTGAGACGCGAAAGTCAATGAGCAAAATACAAAAGCAGAGGCGGGCAGGAGAGAACCTATGGATGCAGTTCTGCCCCCCGGCCACCCAGCCGTGAGGCAGGCTTGACGGAGCCCCTGCCACTTTACCTTGTGAGGCCAGAGGGATTTCGTCCTGTGCTGGCCAGACTCATCCTGTTTGTGGTGAACCAGTGAGTCCCAACAGGAACTGTCCACGTAGGCAGCCTGCCGGATGCTGAAGTTACTGGGACAGAAGCAGCTGATGGGAGACCCTGGAACAGAAACACAGCTTTGAGGCAGCCCTGAGTTGGGGTGGAAGAATGGGGATCCAGGGGACAATCAGCTAAGAGCTTTCTGGCCATTTCTGAATCTGGCAGGCCCTGTCTTCTTCCCAGGCCCTAGGTTTCTGGGTCTGCACTGTGGGTGAATGAAGAGGCAGTGGGAGGCTGACACACCTCCCTGGGCGAGGTGGTGAGCTCAGCACACAGCCAGGAAAGAAAGCCAGCAATCCCAGTTCTCGGGAAAGTCCACGTTGCCTTTAATAGAGGTGGCAGATTCGCTGTGTTAATCTAGCACCTAGAACACTGGGTATACGTGTTTGTTAGTGCTCGTGCGTGGGGCTGGAGCTCTTGGAGAGGAAGGAGTGCATTTATTCAGCACCTGTGATGCGCCAGACTCTGTCAGGCACTTAACAGGTTCTCAAGTCAATAATCCTGGAGGTGGGGAGTAGCAAGAAGACTCCAAGAAGATAGGAGATTTATCTGAAGCTTGGCTAATTAAGACCTTTAGAGGTCATAAATCCTGGAGAGATTATAGGATCCTAATCTCTATCATCCACATGAAAATCAAAATAAAAGTTTAGTCACTGCAATGACACAGAACATGCGAATACTGAAATTAAGACAAATATTTTTTACTGGAAAATTTTAGAAATGACTTTCAAAGTTTTTTAACACCTCTGCTTTGCTGGTGCCCCAAACGGATGCATAGTCTGCCTTTTGGGTGATGCCGGGCCCGAGTCATGTGATCTAGACAGTGGGGGCTGACTCATTTCAGGGCCCACTGGGTCTTGGAAGCCACTTACCAGAGGAGAACTCCTGGGCAAATGCCAGTGACATCAGCAACAAGGGGAAGCCCACGGCTATGAACTTGACCATGCGGTCCAGGGGCAGTTCCAGGCGCAGTCCTTTGAGGTGGGGGCCCCTGCGGTCGGGCAGCAGGGCATCTGAGAGCATGTACTCTGCAGCTGTGTGTGCAAGCGACATGATGCCCCGAGCTTGGGCACGGGGGTAGCAGGAGGGGTCCCAGGAGAGTGGAGTCAGGAGGTAGCAGCTTCAGGCAGCAGGCTTTCAGCAGACGGTGCCTGCAGCCCTGGCCTCACGGATATCTGTGCGAGGCGTGGGCGCTGGTTCTCTAAATAACTGGCCAGGCCCTGAGCCAGGCACCTGGTAATTAGAGGGAGGCATAGCCTAGTGGGTCCTCGCTGGAGGAGGGTCGGGTGTCAGCTGGGGCTGGTGCCAGGCTGTCCTCTGGATTCTCCCCGAGCAGATGCAGTCCCGTGGCTTTATGCTGCCCTCTCATTAATAAAGTATTTTTGGTGGGGTGGTGGAGAGGAGGAGGGCTGTGGAGCAGGTCCCCCATGTAATTGGTGTGGAATTTGGGTGGAGATTGCTTAAATGTGTTGAAGGCCCTCATTTTGTGGTTTGGGGTGGGAACGGAGCCCCCAAGACTCAGATAGGGTTGCTGCTCCTACAGAGTCTTCTTTGTCCCAGTGATGATTTTTGCTTTGGGCCCAGGCTCTCTCCCAGACACTGATCTGTGTTTGGTGTTACATTCCCTTCCCCGCCTCTGGTCTTTTTCTAAAATGTTTCAACCGTGTATTTACAATTTCCATATATTTACTAAATTTCTTTTTTTTTTTAAGCTCCCGTCAGTTCTCTAGAAAGCTGAGGAATGGGTGGCAGTGTTGAGTAGTAGAAAGAACATGACTTTTGAAATCTGGAGGGAAAAGTCTCCCACTGGAGACCTGGCAGTACTTGTGTTTTATCGCGTGACTGCAGGGAGTCACTTTGGGCTCTGTATTCTCATCTGTCAAATGGTATTATATTGATTGTACAAAACTGTGAAGATTGATGAAGAGCATTGTATGGGAAGATGTACTGTAAACTGGAAAGTGTAGGGTAAATGTCAGCTCTTACTTTAATTTGGTGGGCTTGGTCGGTGGAAAAGCAAACACTGGGGCATATGGTAATCTTCTCTCTAGGACTGCCCTTAGACTTGGCAAGAGAGGCCCTGACCTTGGCTTTCACACTGGGCCCCTCTGCCTGTGGCCTTCCCACAAGGCAAGGAGTGCATGGGGCCAAGGGGATGTGCTCATTCAGAGCCCATGCGCCTAGACCACTCTTCCAGCACCAGGGATGCTGTAATTCCCTGCCCAGATGGCCCCAGCCTGCTTCCAGGGCCTGTGCAGGCCTTTTCCTCAGGTACATTCTCCCATCAGCAGATCATGCTGCTGGTGCGCACCCTTGGGCCTTAGGAATGGCTCATTGTTGGGGTTTGGATGGAATTTAGAAGTCCTGGGTGTCCACACATGAAACTGTGAGACTTCTTGCAATGTGGGACTTAGCTGGGTTGGGAAGAAGGGATCTGGGCAGTTCGAATATTCTAAATTGGAACCTGGCATTCCTGATCATTATGAAGGGGTGTGTGTGTGTGTGTGTGTGTGTGTGTGTGTGTGTGTGTGTGTGTGTGTGTGTGTGTGTGTGTGTGTGTGTGTGTGTGTCTATATGTGTCAAGGTAGGCAGATATAGAGCATATTTTATTTAACAGTTTGCTTCCTTGATTTATAACTTCTAATTTTTTAGATATATGGTATGTGGTCTGGCACTGCCTATCTCCCCATCCCCGGGCTAGAGGCCAACTCTGAATCAGAGTTGTCCTGTGTGCACTAATTGCAGTGATCCAAGACTGGCAGCGGGAAAAGGGATCCTTTATTTCTATTCCCCATCAGCCTCTCCACACTCCCCTTTCTGTATCTTTTTATTATATGTGTTTTTGCCAAAAGTATTTTGCCAAATATTATTGGTTCATATGCATGTATTTTCTTTTGCCTTTTAAAAATAATTTACATTTTAATGATGTATAATATACATACATTAATACACACGTGTTCCATAAATTTTCATCTGATCAAGAAACAGAAGTTTAGTTTACACCCCAGAAGCCACCTTCGTGCTCCTTTCTAATAACCATCATTTCCCAAAGGATAATCATCATCCTAACTTCTAACAGCATAGATAAATTTTGCCTTCCTTATGCTTTATAGAAATGGAATCGTATGTATATACTCTTTTGTGTTTGCCTTCTATTGCTCTACGTTATATCTCTGAGAATCCGTTTTATTTCCTGTTTTTGTGCTCTATATAAGTGGAATCATATGTACATATTTTTTTGTGACTGGATTCTCTGCTCAACATATTTCTGAGATTCATCCATGTTGCTGTGTGTGTCAGACTTCCATTCCTTTTTATTGCACAGAAATACAACAACTTGTTTGTCCATTCACCAACTGATGGACATTTGAGTTCTAGTTTCTGGCTATTATAAAATAATTCTCCTGTGAACATTCTAACTTGTGTCTTATGGTGAAAATATGTATGCATTTCTGTTGGTTATATACCCATGAAAACTGGTGTACTGGAATTTCTGGGTCATAATGCTTTGCATATGTTCATCTTTATTCGTTTTCCAAGTGGTTATATTTATTTGCATTTTTATCAACAGTTTGTGAGAGTCCTATTTTCTCCACTTCCTTATGTTTTTGCAATTAAAACCAATCTGGCCATTTTGGAAGGTGTATAACGACATTGGATTGGGGTTTTCTCTGATCATGAATGCAGTTGGCCACTTTGACCATCTGGAAATCTTCTTTTGTGAAGTGTATGTTTAAGTCTTTTGCCTGCTTTCCTCTTGGGTTGTATATCTTTTGAATAATGATTTGCAGAATTTATTTTTATATTCTGCATATGAGACCATCACCAGATATATGTTTTATTTATATCTTCTGGGAGTCTCAGTTCCTTGTTGGGTGTTGGCAGGAGGCCTCAGTTCCTCAGCAGGTGGGTCTCTCCCTACCTCCCCACCTCTCACCGGGTGATCCGAGCAAAGCGGGAGCCGCTGTGCTTTAATGACCTAACCTCTGAAGTTTCAACTGCTACTTCTATTTTTTTCCTATTCAATAGAAGGAAGTCACGAAATCCAGCCTATATTCAAGGGGATGGGAATTGGGCTCCACATTTTAAAGGGAGTGTCAAAGAATTTGTGGAATATTTTAAACCACAATTTTTGAGGAAATTGTCCATTTTCATCCAAATTGTCAAATTTATTTGCATACCATTATTCATAATATTCTCTCATCATATTGTATTACTATCTTATTATGAAAAAAAACTTTAAACTACAGCAAAGTTGAAAGAATGTTACAGTGAACCTCTGTAACAGTTAATTCTATGACATTCTACTTGGCTTGCTTTGTTATGTATCTATTTTTCTATCCACCCCTCTATCCACACATAAACCATCCAATTTTTTTTTGGATATACTTCATAGTACATTGTAAATATTGATATACTTCTTCCTAAATACTTCAGCACGCACATCACTAACTATACTTCAATATTTGTTTACAGTTTGTTTTTTTTAAGGTAAAATTTATGTACAATGAAATGCACAAAGCTTAAGTATGCATACACAGATTTTGACAAATGCATACACCTGTGTAATACACACCTCATCAGGACTAGGACGTCTTCACTCCAGAAAATTCCATTTTATTCTTTTTTAGAGATCCTAGTTTTCTGATGAAATCTCCATACTTTCATCTAAAATATCCGTCTTCTATTTTTTTCATCATATTAATCACGGTTATTTTTAAATCCTTATTGCTAACTCCAGGATTGGGGCAATCTGTAGATCTGCTCCTATTGTCTACTTTTTGCAAAAATTACTGTTTGGAACTTGCATTGTATGCTGAACACCGTGGATAAAGGACCACAGGAACCAGAGATGCTCTGGATGATCCTGTCTTTTACCAAAGACGGTTCGCCTTTCTTCTATTAGTCATGTAGGGTGAGGAACTGACCACTGAATCCAATCAGGGTCTGAGCTGACGTAGGTCTGCGCTGGAGTTTTAGTAAGAGTCAGTGTACATTTAGTTTTTCCTATTGCTAGAGCCTGATCTTTCCAGGATTTTGATTGAGCCTGTTGGGTCTTTGTCTCTTAAGCTCTGAAAAACTGTGAGAGGGTCTATTTTCCTCTTCAGAGGATTTCAGTGTAGCTCATTAGCCTCCTGCTGCATTTAGCTTCTCAACCTGGCAAATGCTTTGAAGGAGAGACTGCCTCAGTGAGTCTGATCAGTGACTTTAATGCAGGACCCTTCCCTTTGTAGTGTATTTGTTTCATAATTAGCACAGAGTGTAGATTTCACTTTGCATTTTAGAGGCTTTTAGTTTAGTCCACACAGCCCCAGTGCTCAGGAAATGTCCTGTGGGGAAGACTGGGCATGCATTTGAAGTCTCTCAAATTTCCTTTTGTCACTTCACTTTGTAACTACCACTAAGAGCTTTGATGGTTCATTTTTCCCTGGCAAAAGCCCTCTGCCTGGAGCGAGAACAAAGGGGGGTTGGCACCCAGAGGCAGGAACTTCCTCCAGGGGAAAACTTCCTGAAGATTGTCTTGTTACCTCAAAATGGTTCTATCTCCTGTGGAATTTTAATTCATCTTGTCTTCATTTCTTCCACAACTTCCTGATATCCACAAAACATAGTTTTTGTAATTAAGACAGCCTTTTCTGCTATGGCTACAGGAACAGTTGCCTGTTATAACATACTGAACTTTGCCTGAAAGTCTGTGCGTTATAATTTTAATACACGTAAGTGATTTTATGTTTTATATTTTATGGTTTCTTACTTTAAAAAAAAACTTGTCTCTGTACCCCTAAAAGTCCATCAATGTGGCTATGTACACAGATAATATATTGTTTCCACTGCTGCAAAACATTGCATTTTATCTACTTGCTTGCCTGTTGACGAGTATTCATTTTGCCTGTACTCCTTATACCACAGTAATGCACATTTCCCCCTGTGGTTCTATGACAGAATTCAATTGGGATATACATCAAAGACTGGAATTTCTAGATCGTAGGGCAACATATACTTAACTTGTCTTAGGTGATATCATATTGCTCCTAGAACAGCTGTAATGCATA